AGAGACACAGGGTCAACTCCTAGAAGGCCACTGTAAAGACTTTGATTGAGATAGAAACCACTGGTTTTGAGTGGTTTTGAGTAAAAGAATGACTTTTTACTTACATTTAAAAAAAAAAAAGTTCAGTCTCTGCTGTATGGAATATGAGGTGTCAGTAGAAAGCAGAGTGACAGATAGAGGACTCTATCACTCCAGGTGAGAGACAATAGTAGCTAGGACCAAAGTGGTGGCAGCGGGGGTGGTGAGGCATAGTACATTCTAGATATGCTCTAAAGTTGAGGTAACTTTTACTTGCTTATTTTCTATTTCTTTACTGGGAGGATCAACCAGGTAGGTAACTAAAATTCTTGACGGACAATGTATGTGGTATGAGAAAAAGAAGTCAAGGCTGATTCAAAAGTTGCTGGTCAAGCACATGTAAGAGTGGAGTTACCATTAACTGAGACAGAGAATATCACAGGTAGAACAGGTGTTATGGGAGCTAAAACGAAGGACTTACAAGTAGAGATGTAAAGTAAGCTGCTGAATATACAAAGAAAAATTTCAAGTGAGAAGTCTGAGCTACAGATATAAACTTGTAAGTCATAAGCACATAGGTGTTTTTTAAAAGCATAACACTGAATAAGACTCACCAAGAGAATGAGAGTAGTTAGAAAATGGAACTAAAGACAGAGCTCTGGGTACTTCACTGTTAAGAGGCTGAGGAGAAAAGGAGCACTCAGAAAAACAGAGAATGAAACAAGACCAGAAGGCAGAGGGAATCAAGAAAGTGTGGTCCCCTGCACTACTTTTGCCAGGAAAGAGAAATGCATTGTGTCCAATGCTCCTGATAAGTCAAACGAGATAGGGCTGCAAACCAACCATGGGTCAACAATGTGGAGGTCTCTGGTACCCTTGGCAACTCCAGTGTCAGGGAAACTTCCTTGGAGTTGGTTTAAGAAGGAAATTAGAAACAGAAATACATTGGTAACTCTTTCAAGTACTTTTCCTGTGAAGGGCAGCAATAGAAATGAATTGCCACTGAATGGATTGGTGAGGGGAGGGGGGGGG